TGTTGGTGTACCAAGCTCCAGGCAACACTTGTTTGTTTCTGTATTGTTGGGGCTTCAACTAGGCAGGTCAACAATGTGCCTTCTGCCTCCCCTCTGAGTTGTAGACTCCAATGTAGCTTGAGCATGTTTGATTCCAATTGACCATTTCATTGATAGTGTTTCAGCATCAATAGAAGATTGCTTGTCAGCATACATTGAAGGTCCCCAGTCACAACACCTCTTTGACTGTTATTCCTCCAAAGTCAATTCAATGTCTTTGTTGTCCTGCACTAATTTAGATTCAACCTTCATATTGGAAGCCTTGAATCTGCCAGCTGCCACTTGTCAGCACTGGTTTCAGGATAGTATATGTTCTTATCAGGGGCTTCTTTGTGCACAGATGATATTGTCACAACTGGTTTTTCTTCTAGATCAAGTTAAACATTCCCAATGTTGTCAGTAAAAGCTTTTGAATGAAGTGACCTGTGTAGTGCATTGACAGTGTAAATATGAGTTGCGTTGCAAGGGTCAGCAGTAGATGTATCCATGTCCCTGCTATTGACACTCATAGTGGACAGATTATGGAGTAAATTTGACCATCAGCAGCTGGATCTCCAAAGTTTTGAGGAGAGCTAAGCACAAGCTTTCGACCCCACCAATTAAGGAGAAATATTATATGATTGCAACAGCAGAAAGTGGATTCTCAGTGGAGCATCATCATAGGCCATGCAAAATTGTCAGAGTTCTGTATGACTTGTCAATTGCTAGTGCTTCATTCAGGGCATACCTTACAAGTCACTTGAGAGAACTTTGTTATATATCTTGTAATGCAGACCATGATGTACACATGATGCAAGAGGTGAAACCTGATGGCACCCCATATTGGGCATATCTGATTGCATACGTTGATGACATCATATTATGCTGTGGCTTTAAACCACAATTGATGTTGGAATCACTTGAAAAGAGATTCACATTGAAGGATGGAACTATTGAAGAGCCTTCACTATATCTTGGTGCTGACATCAGTTGTCACAAAATCACAGGCATTGACATTTCAAGATGGGCTATGTCTGCAGAGAAACATACTGAAAATATAATCCAGGTTCTTGAGCATGAACTGGCTACTACTGAGAAATATGATTACAAATATCTGCCCACAAAGAAGGTCAGTACGCCTCTCCCACTAGGTTACAGACCTGAGATTGACTTTATTGTTGTTTCCAACATTTGTGTTGGATAGCACTAACAACAACCCAAGAAGCTCCTATTAAAGCAATCAAAGCACAAAACTGCTGATGGTGATGAGATCAGCAACATCTTTCCCCCTATCCCAGCTTACCTCAGCTTGATCCATCACCAGTTCTTGCCAACCAGAAGAAGGAGACAATTCCGGTCAAGATTTGTTGTTTCTGACATTAATGCCAGACAACAACAGCAACCACCCCAGCCCACAGTATTCAACCAAGACCTTTCCTTTGAAAAACAGTGCCCTGGAGTATATACTGTATCATACTCACATACTCAGTTTTAACAAAAATTCACCACCAGCTTAGCTCCATGCACTAGTTCTTTTTCAGACCAGAAGAAGATTCTGGTCATGATGTTGTTGTTTCCAACATTTGTGTTGGGTAGTAGTAGCAACAACAACACCTCAATAAGCTTCTACTGAAGCAACACCACCAAGATAAGGTTGTTGTTTCTGACATTTGTGTTGGACACCAACAGCAAGTGCAATAAAAACCAAGTATGTTTTTTGTGTGCACAAATTCTAATCTATAGAAAAGAATTGTGATCAGAACTGATCAAAAAAATTGTGATCAAGAAATTTCAACAATTTTGTGATCATTTCTTGCATTCTGGTCAAAACTGATCACATAATCAAAAGGGATATTGGAGTATTTAAATTTCCCCCAAAAATCAAAATTGACATGGTCTGAGGGTGTCATCTGAGGGTGTCATCTTAGGGTGTTGTCTGAGGGTGTTTGTTGTCTGAGGGTGTGGTCTGAGGATGTTGTCTTTTGAAAAAGAACTAATCAATCTGATTTATTGATCTGGCTGTCAGAAAGTGCCATTTAGAAATCTGTGCATTTTGGATGGTGCTGGAAGTGTCTATCCAACAAATTTTAGATATTGAATTTTGTAAATCTTATCAAGTCCACTTTAAAATGAGTCAAGCTAGTCAAATTGAGTGAAAAAGGCAAGAGTTTTCTAAAATGGTGTGTGCTTCTTCTGTCAAAGAGGGACAAATATAAATATATAGTCATTTATAGTCATATTAGTAGCACTTCATCACTTTAACAACTCTTGATAAGGCATATTACTATGTTCTCAGTACAGGACTGTAGTACAAATGTGTAAAAATACTGGTATTATTTATATTAGGATATTTAAATCTAATATTAAAACGGGTGCAATGGATACGTACGTACAGTATTGACTGTATCGGAAGTATACGTACGTACTGTAAAAAGAGGCATGCGTACACACGATGCTCCCTCGGAATAGATGGACATACTATTCCTACCTACGAATCACAGGGTACTATTCTTATGTATGATACCATCATATTGAGGATTGTAAGAGGTCCAAGATATCAGAAATAGATTACCTCGCAAAGAACAAAGATGTCGATAGATCAGAATAATAAGAACCCTGTGTAGATTCAGTACCGAGACCTACACAGGATCTAATCGGAGCTTCTGAAAGCTCACGTCAAAACTCGATAATCTTAATCTTAATTCAATTTTCATACACACTTAAAACACTTACTAAGAGCACATGTAATCTCATGCAACAGGACTACTAGTACCCCAGTATTCAATCCTAGTATTGAAGAACAAAGTCTGGAATATATGCTACATACATAGTACTTGAAAGAAGATTCCCCAGCCTTATCTCCATGCAGCTCCTCCAGTATTCCAGTTTTATTTACTGACCGGTAGAGTTTTCTGCTCCTGTTGTTGTTGTTTCCGGAATTTGTTCCAAAAGGCAACAACACCAACCCCAGCCCCAGTCTTTGATCCTATTGAAGAACAAAGCCTATTTACTACTCACTTCTTACAGAAGCCCCCCCCAGCATTATCTCCATGCAGTTCCAGTTTTATCTACAGACCAGACAAGTTTTCTGGTCATGTTGTTGTTGTTTCTGACACTTGGGTTGGATAGCAACAGCAACAACCTCAGCTGATACTGCCTCCTAGACCAGTATCATTCCCAGCAGTACTACTATTACTACCCCCCCCCCCCCCAGTTGCGTGCAGTTTGCCTCAGCTGGATCCATCTCAAGTTCTCAAGGATCAGAAGCATCAGCAGTGTTTTCCAGTCACGATTGTTATTGTTTCTGGCATTTGTGCTGGAAGGCAACAACACCAAACCCAGTCCCCAGTATTTAATCCAGACCTACTATCCTTTGAGGAAGAACAATGCTTGGAGTATATGCTATACATACTCAGTTTAAAGATTCCCAGCCTTATCTCCATGCAGTTCCAGTTTTATTTACAGAGCGGAGGAGTTTTCCAGTCATGTTGTTGTTGTTTCCGGCATTTGTGCTGGAACGCAATAACAGCAACCTGCCTTAATTGGCTGATCACAATTTTCTGTACCAGGAGGGGGGCCTAGGAATCTAATTTTTTTCCAAAAAATTGAAATCGACATGGTTCCAGTATCGTACGAACTCCTTCCTGTATTCCGTCTCGTTCTTGGAACATCAAACCCCACATATTTTTTTGTCTTCTAAATGTCGGGAGGAAGCACGCGTTATCGCAAGTGCGCGGTAACCTCCGTCATTACGGTTACCGTACTATTGCCATCAATGCAATCACAGTTAATTTTACGAATGAAAACCAAAAAATACCTTGTTAGGGGACTTACTACAAGGTACAAATTATCCATTCAACGGTAAAAGCACGGTACAGAAAAAAGTTCCGTGAGCCTCGTGTATTTCCTCGTTGTTGAAACCAAACTTGTGAGTTGAAACCAACCAGCTCTCTACTCACAAGTTAGTTTTGCGATGAAAAGGTAAAATCAGCTCCAGGAAGCTCCCAACACGACGATTAGCCTGTAAAAGCACAAACGCGAACAAATCCACCATCCAAGCCCGGATACCGCTTTCGTATCTCTCATAGTAATCATAATAGAAACAAAGATGAAGACGCACCTGGACCATGAACCTCTCAAGTCACTAAATTCATACGACAGTAACGAAACACATCTACCCTCTCTTGCATCGGTCTCTTCCTACTCGTCATCGCCTCCATCATCACCTTCTTCATCATCCACATCTTCATCATCACCGTTATCGTCATCGGGGACGAAAAATGGGTTAGTAATTTCACCCGACAAGTCGGACTACAATCACTTCCTGGCGAACAAAGTGGTTGCATTAGATTGTGAGATGGTGGGGGTGGGTCCCAGGGGCAAGATAAGTGTATTGGCTCGAGTATCAGTCGTAGATTACTATGGGAAGTCTCTTTACGACCGTTTCGTCCATGTAGAAGAACGCGTTACGGATTACAGAACACACGTGAGTGGGGTCACGGAATCGGATTTGAAGAACGGTGTCGATTTTGGGATCGTTCGGAAGAACGTCAAACAAATACTAAAAAACAAATTGATCGTTGGACACGGCCTAGAAAACGATCTCCGGGCGCTGAAAATCGAACAGGATCACAGCTGGTATAATATTCGGGATTCGGCAACACAATACCAACCGTACATGAGACTTGATCACTTCGGGCAGTGGCGACCGTACCGCCTCCGTGATTTGACGTGGTATCATCTGGGCATCGTTATCCAAGAGGGAGGTAAACCGCACGATTCTCTGGAAGACGCTCGCGCTGCTATGGCATTGTACCGCAACGCCCAACAGAGTTGGGACTACGAAATCGAATGCCGCCGCAGAAACGCGCTAGCAACATTTGCTAGCTCCAAGCGAGGTCGGTACTAGAGGGAACCATCAAGGAAAACAAAAAATGATACCACGAATCATCTCGTTCGACTCACCATCAGTTAATAATAATTATAATAGAAATGGTTTACTTAGGGGAAACTAAATTGTCGACCGATCAAACCTACAACAATATGCTTCAGCCAGTGATCCAATTTTGCTATGATTGGGATCCCGAGCTGCTACCGGTTTCAAGCGTGTTGCTCTCTGAAGTGCCAATGTATGGTTCCTCTAGTATTTTATTCGCTGGATTTTTCTGTGGTATCAAGGTGATCAATCGATCTTTAATCGTTGCTCTCTTCCACGCCTTGTTTTCATTCCGGGGTTTCGACTTTGGAGTGACTCATGTCTATTGCCTCTGCCGGAGGCTTTTGATCGTCGGCCTCCAACGGAGGAGCAGTTGTAGCAGCCTGCGTCGCGGACTGTACGGCGACAACCGCTTGGGAGAGCAGCGCGTTGACGTCGGCGGGTCGTTCGTTGAACATGATGGTGTTGGATTTGGATCCCATGTCGGCGTACATCGAGACGTATTCTTTCGCCAGGGCGAGCTTCGCCGCCTCGCTGCCGCCCTTTTTGTTGATCTGGGTAGAGATCAGCTCGAGCGCTTCTGCTTGCGCTTTCGCCGTGAGCCGGATGGCCTCGGCCTGGCCCTCCGCCTCGAGCAGGATGCGTTGTTTGGTGGCTTCTGCCTCGTTCTGGACCTTGACCAGGTTACCCTCGGACTCGTTCGTGAGGCTGATTTTGACTCCCTCGGAGGTTAGCTGGGCCCTTCTCTTGTCTCCCTCCGCCCGCAGCACGTTTTCTCGCCGGTCGCGCTCGGCAGCGGCCTGCTTGTCCATGGCGATTCGGATCTGGTGGTCCGGAGTGATCTCCGTGATTTCGTACCTCCGTACCTCCAGGCCCCAGGGGAGGGCAGCCTCCTGTAGGCCGCCCTTGATCAGCGCGTTCAGGCGGGATCGGTTGTGCAAGATTTCGTCGAGTTCCATCTCTCCGATGGCGGACCGCATGGCTGATTGCGCGTGCTGTACAGGAAGAGTCGTTCCCCGAGGCAAGGAGCAAGAAACAAATTGGCCTGTGTGAGTGTTGGTGTGTCCGTTGCCGTGCATGGTTTCATGCCAAAAAACTAAGTGGCAAGCAACAGGAAGCAGGCGATAACGAATCGACACTGCCCAAAGAAACAATACTTTCGAAACCATTGCCACGAGTCAAATCGGGGATTTCCGTTCTCTTCCGAATCGGAGCGAACGTTCGCGCAACAAAACATCGATTCCAACATTGATTCCAACATTGATTCCAACATTGATTCCAACATTGATTCCAACATTGATTCNGATTCCAACATTGATTCCAACATTGATTCCAACATTGATTCCAACATTGATTCCAACATTGATTCAAACATTGATTCCAACATCGATTCCAACATCGATTCCAACATCGATTCCAACATCAATTCCATTATCCCGCATCAGAGCCATCGATTTACCTGGGTGACACTGTAGAGTGGGTTGAGGGCACCGTATGCCGCCTTTTCTGGATCCTGGAACTTCACAAAGAGGTTTCCCGACACCTCTACGGAAACGTTGTCGCGGGTGATTGCGGCCTGTGGCTCGATGTCTATGGCTCGTTCCCGCACGTCGATCACGTACGCAATCTGGTCCACGAGCGGAATGGCGAGGAACCAGCCGCTCTCCTCGATAGAATGGAGCTTTCCGAAGCGTTCCACCACGTACTTGAACCCCTGTGGGACAATGTTGAAGATCGTGTTGGGTCTGGTGACCGGCCACCTCGACGGGATCCCACCGCCCACGCCGCTGCCTTCCCGAAAGCCATCGAGAACGTAGCTGCTGAATTGTCGCTTCGGCCCGGAAGAGTAGAAGTCACCGACAAAGGCGTTCGTGTTCGTTGTTGTATTCGTTGTTGTGTTCGTTGTTGTGTTCGTGCTCGTGCCACTGAATCCCGGTAAACGAACCGCACCCGCCCTGCGACAGACCCGCAGCGATCTCGTTGTCAGTGTCATTGTGCGATTCATGGTTCTGGTAGCAGGCGTGGTCAATCGCGCGCTGTTAGGTGACAAGAATCCGGTTTTCCAGCCTCTTGGACGTACCGTAGATTATGACCGTCCAGGTTTATGCTGTGGTGCTATCTCGGTAGATAATTTGTGGCGGTGATCCTTCTCCGTGTTGGGGATCTTGTATCGTTCCGTATGGTACCGTACGAACTCGTGCTACGAGTAGAGTCATGAAGATCGAAAATCGAATCCCGCACGGTAGGTACGTACTCGTAGTACTCGTATGCGTAGTTATCGTGGAGTTGCTCGTTTCTCGCTTGTATTCAGATGCGCTGGAATACAAAAAGAACGTGTGATGGATGGCACACTAAGAAACACTAGTTATTTTTTGTCTTGAATCCAGCACCTCACCGGAGTACGTACCGTACATACCGGTGCACCATGCAATTTGGAGTACATGTAATCCAAAATTGTATTCTGCTCTGGCCTATGGCAGAGCACAATATTTTCCATCACAATGCTAGTAGTTGTTTGGCTGGACCAGAATACAACTCCGATGACAAAAATGAAGCAGAATACAAAAAAGGGAGGAGGAGTACAGGAGGAGGCCACCCCACCAGCACCAGGAGCAGTACTACTACTACTAATACTAGTAGTACTACAAAGCACAGTACCACTTCTTTGTGAATTCTCATACCATAGAGGTTTGTGGCCTCAGAAAAGGAGCTCCTCTAGTAAAGGAATTTGGTACCACTAATCACCAGCAGCATGAGGAGGAGGACAGAGGAGAGGGGTGTTAGTTGTGGTGGTGTAATCCAATGCTTGCAAGGTCGACGAGCAGACTGGAGGAGGAGACCCTTACTTGTTTTGCCATCATCAACTGCTGTTTGTTGTTGCTTTTCAGGGGAACAAGAGAGAACCTGTATTGCTAGATGATTTATGTAGGAGAAGTACAAAATGATACCGGAGTACCATTTTTGAATCACACGATTCAGTAGAATCTGTAGTACTATATTCTACGCTGTGCTGCTTTTTTCCTTGGATTTTGCTTGCTACACTGCTGAAGTTGAAACACTCAGTATTTGAATCTAGCTCTCTTTCAATCACTAATTGCACTCTGACCTTGGGAAAGTGCCTCCTTTCAAGAACTGTAAGTGTCCATGATGTACTGTGCTGTTATCCGGTGTGTTGCTGGGTCTCCAGTTGTGGTAGCTAGTATCAGCAGCAGTGGCTTTTGTCAGCGGCTCCTCCTCCATGGCCAGACTGCAATAGCAAAACCATCCTAAAGTACATGAATGTTAGAATCAGATGTGGTACTAGTGTATGGTGATGAAGGATCATCATCCTGTGACTGGTGATTCACATATGATTGTGACTGATCCATGGTGATTAGATCCAAACTAAATGTAGCATTTGTAGGTACATAAAGTATAATGCTTAAGCTGACTGTTTGGTCATGGGCCTATGTACCTTAGTTTACAAGTGACTGGAGAAGCTTTTTTTGACTGTTCTTGTGTCAATGTGTAACATGAGTGTCACACTTTGCATACAGCAGAAGGCTTCTCCCAGCTCCTGACCTCACAATCTAAATCATCATCCAAACTAAAATACCCTCATCACCCCCACTGCAGCACTGCTCAATGCACCATGGTGTCATGGTTGTAATTCATAACTGCTGAGTCTTCATAATATAAAGTAGTGTTAAAATATTGTTGATTGACACTACTACACTAAATCTTTTATTGTTTGTCAGTACAAATTGAGTTATTCATGAACGCTGCGGGCCCTCCATTAGTTTTTGAGAAAGACAGTCGCCAACCAAGATCAGAGTTTCCCATAGGTTTTTTTAATGTTTGAACAAAGAGAAACAAATAAGAGAAACAAGTGGAGGCAATATTGTCTTAGTTTCTCTTTGTTATAACAATGGGAAACAATGAGCAAATGCCCTTCTAAACAAGGAGAAAAATTCTCTTTTTTTTCTCCTTGTTTCGCAGGGTGTATGGGAAACTATTTCATTTAAAAAATATCTAATGGATGGCCCTGTCAGAAACCTGCTTGAGTGGTGGTAGTACTTCCAGAATGTCAAAAAGAAACTTTGCATAAAATCCTGCCAGCTTAATGTTCACAGACCACTGTCAAGATTACATTAAATAATTACATCTTTTTGGGAAATCTCATGTGTGACATTGCCCTCCAAAATTTGGTCAGCAAGGGCAGTGATGGATTACACTGAGAAAGTTCACAGGAAATACTGATGTCCAGGTTTTGTCAACACCTGCTGAAGCCCAAAAGTACATTTTGTCTGAGTTGCTGTAAAAGATCTGATAAGTTGTGTCTTTAACACTTCCACCAGATGTCTTCAGATTTGCTATTTCTCATGATATTGTTCAAGCAGCTGCAACCAACAAATGCTAGTAGATGACTTTGATGGACAATGAATCAAGGGCAACATCAAGGAGGCACCTGGTTTACAAGGGTTAATTTGTCTATATTGTCATTCAAGAAATAAAAAAATCCTTAGAGAGCAAGTCCTATGAAAGTGCAGAAGAAGAGGAAGCACTAAAAAGAAACAAGGTGTATGATAGGAAAAAGCTTGAGCTATACTGTAGCAAATTTAAGATAAGATATAGTGGAAGAAAACCACAGAGCTCACGTAGTTCATATTAATTATATATTTATTCCCAAAGTGAAAGATTAATGGTAAACAACTGTTGGGCCTTGATCCAATGTTTCTTGTATTTATACTGCTGACTCCACAGCCAGTAGTACTGTAGAGGGCTAAACGGAGGTGTCCCGGTTAACCCTCTACCAAAAAGTCTTCTAAGTCAGCATAAGCGTCTCGAGTTGGATTCCGCCGAGGACTGTTCATACCTCCATCTAGGTCCATGAATATGTCAACAACTTTGTTTCGGTTCTTGCGACGCAGTCGTGTTGTCCGTGACTTACATCTCGGAACCATAGATCCCGATCGAGTGCGCTTTCTTCCAGATCTCTGGGAGTTCTGCACGGGTATTTCTGTCTCGGCGGCCATGCTAGATGGGAAATCGGGTAATGGGTTTACCTGGAATTCTTTTGGCATCACTTGCTGCAGAGAATGAATCTTCACTGCGATACCGCTGAGTATCTCGTTCGCCGTATCCTCACCAAAAAAAATTCCAATCAGTTTAGAGAAAGCGCAGTGCTCGTTTGCAGCATAATGCGATCGCAACTGCTTTTGAAGTTCCTTCAGTGTCAGATACAATTTATGAACATGCGTTGCAACCATTGAAACTTGACGAAACAATTCCTCTGTATCGAAATTTCTGCTGGATACCGATTCACTTGGGGGCCTATTCCTCTTCCTCGACACGATCGCGAGCCATTGAAAGAGTCCTACCAAAAAATCTTCGTCCATATCTTCATCACCAAATAGCCACGCCGACAAACAGCACATTGACTCGAAAATCGACAAATCTCGAGCCAAAACTTTCGCCCCTCCACACAAAAACGAGTTCAAGCGTTGTGCAGAATAAACCAAAACGCGGGAGACGCATTCAATAAGGCAACAAAGCCTCGACCTAGGAGCAGAAGGTAAGTTCGTAGCCACCATATCTAGTGGAACTCTATTACCGTTGTGACCACGCTGCGATAGAACTGGAGATGTACGGAAGAATCTATTGGTGTCCACCAAAGACTTTCGAAGTTCTACTCGTCTAGCTCTGAAATTTTTTTTCCAGTCTTCCAACCAATCCTGGCTCAAATCGCTACTCTCTATTGTATTTGAGGTATGGATTGTTCTTTCAGATTCAAGCCACTTCTGTTCTAACCCAAGAAGCGAACAAGAAAGAGCCCAAGACCAGACTTCCTTTGTATTTAATCGAATCCTCCCACTGGATTTATGGTGATTTCTAGATGGCGAAGGTACGTGGACAAACCTAGGTATATCACCATTGCCTGCTTTAGCATCATCAAATGCATCTTCGCTTGACTTGACATGATATTTAATGCCGTCCAGTCCTTCATCGATTTTCAAGTCAGAATGGTCAGGCCCTGCAATATCCAACCAAGGGATCAAGTATGGTTCTCGCAGTGCCGACCAACGGATCAAAATCTCTACACAATCTTTTAGAACCTGATCGAATACAACTAATTCGAACTGAAACATTTCATCACCAATTATCGGGGTCGATGAATCAGGGTTACAGAGACTACGACGAGTCAGGTCTCGGCACAAAGATGGAAAAACGGCAGCAGCTAGTATGAATGTGGTTCTGAAGAGAGCAGCATCGCGAAGCGGAATCACAGTGAGAATATTTGCAAGATTTGTAGCAACCTCTTTGAAAAGGAGGAAAATTGAGGAATCTTGCTGCGACTTTTTCTGGTCAAATAGAAGGGAAGCGCACTCTTCAATCAAGATGCAAAACGTGAGATATAATTCTCTTGGAAGCCCACCGCTGTTTCCGTTCAAACCAGCTCTCAAATCCGTTGTAAGCGCTCCGAGTATACCACCAATAAGACTCCGAGAAATACATAAGTCACTTTCTTCGGAATTCGAAATAGAGGACAAGCAACTAAGGAAAGCTCGAAGGCAGGAAAGACGAAGCTTTTGTACAATTTCATCGACATCACTCTCACTGTGCACCGAAGTCAAAGAGAAGACATCGCGATCACGTTGGCTACAACCTTCTTCATTTACTGAAACTTTCGACTCCAGGTACTCGATAATTTTTACACAAGCCTTTTCACTCGCTATTGCTTGGTAAAGGTTCCAAAGGCTGCCAATCATTAAGATACAACCCGAGGGATCAACTGTTTCCAGATTCAGATGCAAGGCGCGGCAATATGATACAGTGGGAACCAACAAATCTTCTATCACAGACAAGGCACAGTCCAGTCGAATCGCTTTCCGTACCAAAAGCGAAGAAATCGAGAGAAAAGGCTCAGCAGTTTCTTTGATTGTCTCCATCGAAAGAAGGCATGGGTTCATCTGACTCATTAAAAATCCTGTCGCTGTTATTAGTTTCCATGGAAGAGGATCATTGAAGTCATGTGATTTTCGGGTTGGCAACGGCACCAAGAATAGAAGTTCTAATATAATATCCAACCATGGAAGTGTGGGGGTTGTAGTCTCTGATTGTTCGATGGAGTTTTGTTTTTCAGAAAAGGGAGCTCTATCCGAATCAGCATTTAACCACGACGGAAGGAGGTCTATATAATCCCCAAAAGGCCTAATTTTGAGACGCAACTCGCTCTCTTCGAAGTCTTTTATCCTGTTGGCAAAGTGACAGAAAGTAGTATCTTGATCTCTAGAGGAACTTTCAAGATAATCCGTTTTGGCATTTTGTGCCACCGAATACCCAAGGATATAGGAGTTCACTTTTAAAAAAAGCAACCAGCAGAAAGTAAAGCTATCGACATTCATGGCCTTGTCTGAATAGTACTTTTTCAAAACATCATCATGGTGCGTATATCTCGACGACCGGTCATTTTTGTACGTAAGTATTGCCCGTAGAAACGATTCACGTCCTTCTGCGAGAAGAATGTGCCGACTTTCGCTATATTTGTTCACGCTTGCAAGGGATCTTAGAAGAAGCACTATCAATCTGTGAAGAGTTTTAATTTCTTCGATTTTCCGGGGTTGAGCGTGTCCAATTTTTGATAAGGTATTATCTTGGACAAAGAATGACGAAATTCTAATGGTAGCTGCTCGAAGCAAATGATCCAAGGAGTCTATACTGAAAACTCCATCKGTGATACCAGTCGTCAATGTACGTAAAAGCCAACGGCGACTTTCAAAAGGTAGTGGCGGTATGTCCATTACAAGCAAATCGGAAAGAATGAACCAGGCTTCGACTTCATTCTTCATCCATCGACCACTTCGGATAAGTTCTAACAATCCACGCATACCGTCAACCGTTCTATGATGTACCCCTGATTCAGCTTGTTGTTCGCTAATTTCTAACTGATCGATCTCGCTTCCCCACTGCGAATTCAATGGTGCAAGCAGTTCCTTTGAACGACTCAAAATCCTGAATTGAGCAAGCGGGATGGTTGCCAACACACAACCAAGATACGTTCCATGAGAGAAAGGGAGACTCATATCGATGAGTTGACTCCGCCTGTCAATCCATTCGTCATTACTGTCAATCTTTAGTGCCGAGGCGGTGATCAAGCGTAGAGTAGCAAAATAAGAGTTTTGAAGCTTCGACGGCTCAGATATACCTTGTTTGATTCTTTGTTCTAGAGAACAACGGAGTTCAGGCACTTCGAAGTAAGAGACTGTCCTGACAACGATGGCAAAGGTCGATGCGTGAAGGACATTATGACTGTCAAGAGTATTGGTGACAATATCATCTGCCATATTTACCAGTCGTCTTGCACGAGAAAAAAGGAAGTCTGATGGATACCTTTTCTTCACCGGTGACTCATGAATTTTACTGCTTTCTTTCAATCGAAGACTTTGCAACGCGAGAATCCCACAAGCACTTAGGCATTTGACGTTATGTGCATCACTGCCTTGCAAATCGAATGTTCCATCGATCCTGTAATATATTTCGTGAATTTCTTCTTCACAGAGATAACTTTTTCCATCCCCGAGAACAAAGTTCAACATTGACTTACATTCTTTGTCTGAAATATATTTTTCAAAAACCTTCAAGTCTTCCACATTGTGATTTACAATACAATTTAGAAGCCCTGAGCGGATTGGCTTATCTTCAGCTCTCAAAATCTCTGTGCATAAGGATAAAAAATTGCAAGTGAACCAAGGAGGAATCATTGTTTTATTGAGAGTAATCATGGACGAAGAATGATCATCAATCAATTCAGCAATCCAACTCTTTAAGGACTTGGCACCCCACGTCGTCATACCCTCCATAATTTTTTTTTCGGCCTGATCATACAATTCGTTTGATTGACTGAGCAAAACCTGATACAATGTCAAGAACAAACTTCTTCTCCAAAACTTCCCAACGTCAGTCGAAGATTTCTTATCTTTAGTCGTCGTACAACTTCGATTTGCCATGTTCACTGCGATCGAAATTATTGCCAACACGTCTTGTGATGAGGAAGTGTCGATTGAAGTAACACAAACTTCATCCATCATAATTTTCGCTATTTTTTCTGCTTGAATATCTGAAACTATTGATTGTGAGAGTTGCACTAGTTTCAGCCAGGTTTTCATCTTTGAATGCGTTGGCCGCTGCAGGTATACAGCTGAGACCATGGCATCGAATAAGTCACTAGACCAACCTTTGCAAACCGTAAAAGTCGTGTGGACCAATTGCGATACGAGAGTATAATAAACCGGCTCGCTTGTGCCAGAGTGGAAATTCAGTTTCTCAGCAAATTGGACCATTATTTCTCGAACATACCGTGGTATCGTTTTTGGACCAGGGTAGCGTAAAGAAGGAGCAAATTGGAACTCTGTATTGAGAAAGAATTCTTCGGCCGATGAAATACATTGTGCAATAGGAATCACCGGCCCTGAATATTTAGGAAGTGCTGAAGCGAATTCGTCGAGCGCACTCCAGGGAGTGATATACGAAGGGTCAATCATGAGCAGAGCTTGAAAGATATCGTCGACGGCAATGGTATCTTCATTTTCTTTGGAATCTTCAGAAGGGTTGTTGGTGTCCTTATAAATAACAGAGCGAAACAAGTTTAAGAGCGCACATGCCTTTGGACTTGAGGGAGCAATTTCGGAACACGTAGCGCCGATTTCAGAGCTAGATTTTCTCGACTTGAATCCTAAGAATGAATTCAATCTCTTTTTGTTGGCAGTGAACACTAGGTCCCGGATCCGAGCATGGTCATCACAGCCAAGAGTCAGTTCTTCCATGATTGAAACTTTAGGTGGAGACTTTCATTTGGGATTAGCCTAACTTCGCACTGGAGCATCACCTCGTTTCGGTGCGATAGATCACCGCATTCTTTGATTTACGTAACCGCTACCGTCGTCTCTACCGTAGCAGCGCAATAACATTGAGAAGGTGAAGGTGTTATCCCTGGGGTTCCAAATAGTCTCGCAGAGTCCGTCACACAAGATTACACATGCGAGTGTTGCTCTCATTGACGCTAGTATTCGAATGGCAATACTCGTAGCATCAAAGTACAAGTACTGTTGTTAAAACCGTAATCGACCAGTTGCTGGATTTTAGCATGTGATCACGCGCGGTTGAATACCAAAGCAATACTAAAATCGCGCACTAAGAAACACTAGTTATTTTTGGTCCCATTTCTTGCACCTCGTTGGAGTACCAACCTGCAATTTTTGATTACTGTATTCTAAAATTGTATTCAGCGCCATCCAATGGTAGCGCCCAATTTTTTCCATGATAATGCTAGAAGTCGGGCTTCACCTAAATACAACTCCGAAACTGAAAAATTAGTTGAGTACACAATGTGGAGTACTTTTTTCAGGTCACGAGCAGTACTCTCTACTAATTTTTGTTTTCAACTGATATGAATTTTCAGTACAACTCCACTTATCTTTTGCAGGAACTGCTTTTTTCTATCGAAAATCACAGAAGTGTTCATCGAAAACAACCCTCTCATGTACAAAATGTACCTATTTCCTACACAAGATAGTGGCGTGAACAGATGAAAACGTAGCAATAGAATAGTAAAGATATAAAAAGGACCAGCGTGGTTACAAGCCATAAAACACAGCAGGACCATCATGGTTGCAACTAGAAGAAGCACTAAGAACAACAAACAACAAGACCAACACTGCTGCTGGGCCGAACTACACGGCAGCAGGAGCGTCGGAAGAAGAGCTCGAAGGATGCGGGTGCGTGGCCTGAGTACGCCCACATGTTTGATCCTTCTTCCTCAACTCAAGAAAGCATTATCGTGAAAAGGGAACTGTTTGCTGCAAGGAATAAGAGGATTGGGAGAGATGTAAGCTTTTGTGTTGATAGTACACCAATCGACGTGGACATTACGCCTGTACCTGAAGCGACCGCTGACGAATCACCAACAGCAAAGAACAGATCACTTTGCCAGATGTAAGAGTCCCAAGGAGAATTACTATGGATGGTACTGAATCATGCGTTCAAGACAGCACCCCCCCTGCTGCAATTAAGAAAACAGCTCCCCCTCCTCCGCAATCTACCATTGTCCGCAATCTGTATGCAAAGAGTTATACCAAAAGGAAACCGAGACAACCACCATCTCCGACACGAAAGAAAGCCCCCACCCACCCGCCAGCGATAACAGCTCAAAGGGCTGTACCTCCCAACCCTGATCCTCCTACAAAGGATCCTTCTCCACTAAAGGACATTAACAGCACAACTACTACTAGTACTAGTAAGAAGAACGAGCCAATGACAATCCAAACGGATACCAGGAAGAAGGGGCCCCACGACAATGCAAAGGCTCCCTCCTCCGTAATTGATTATGCAAAGACAATCCGTGACAACGCCAATGCATTCGACTTGCTTGGAAGTGATGAATATCAAGATGCTGAAGCAAGGACAGAGAAGTATGCAAAGACCATTAGGGGAACACATGAAAAATTCATCCAAATCGTCGCTGACACCACCGACCCAGATAAGAATGAACCTGGSGATAAGTTTATGTATGAAATGTTCACTAGGAAAGTCCTAATGACAGATGGGATGACTGAGGACTATCTATTCTATAAACACGCAACAGGAAAAACTAATGCAGTGAGCAAGGAAATAATGGATATGGCCCTCAAGATTTGGGCAAGGCACATAAAGAATACAAAGGCAGGTGGTCCGCTTGACACTAGCACCATGGCTGTACGGATTAGACAGCTCTTTGTTGCTCTTCACGAGAGAGATGTTCAGTTCAGAGAAGGCAATTTCAAAGGAAAAGGGGGCTTTCAGGCCTTTATTAAACATGATTTTAATGCTAAACGTGAAGCAGATCCTTTAATTGGTACAAAGAGAACCAAGGCTGAATTTGATGAGTTCGTGGATGAAAAGTTTAGAAAGGTGTTAACAGATGGAACCTACAAGCCATACGAAAACATGCAGGACTTGGTAAAGCTTCTAGCAATGGAGCTTGGTAGGCAGTTTGGAATACAGGGGGGGACCGAGCTTGCCGGTTTGAAGTGGTCATATGTAAGGATGGGAACCTTTAGACATGGATGCATGGAAGGACTGAAGTATGTGATTATTGCTCCGGGTGGAGGGTGTGATAAGTCACACCAGTTGTCTCTTAATAATCCAACTGTAACAACACAGTATCCCTCTGTTGTGGAAGACCCCGAGAACCCAAACTGTATAGTGAAGCTGATCCATTTTTACCAAGTGAGGTGTGATCCAAAGCAAGATCGATTCCTTTGTCACCCTAACTTGAAGAGGAAGAAGACTAACCCATACTTCTTCAAAGGAAATGCCCCTGTAGGGAAAGGATCCATTAGAGTATGGGTTAAAGAATTTGCTGAGGTTGCTGATTTCAAGGATTGGGAGAAGTATACACCTCATGATAACCAACACCGGTGCTGCACTATCCTTGCCTCCGATCTTGCTGTTCCTGAAAAGATGAGGATGAATCATCTCCGACACAAGAGTAACAAGTCTGCTGAGCCTTACATTCATCAGAATTCTGTAATTCAAAGAGCTGTTCAAGGTGTGCTTCACAGTGGGCTCCATGGAAACAAAAAAGTCCCAGCAGCTGCTGTTCTGGAAAGCAAGATTGCGGAGCAGCAAGTTCGCTGTGGTGCAAGCACCAACAGGAAAGACAAAGAAGAATCCCAATTTGATTTGCCTCCTCTAATTCCGAATGAAACCAGTAACACCAGTATGATAGGAGTTGTTGAAGAAAGAAATGAGGATGATACTGGTGGTGGATCAGCAGTAACGCCAACCAAAAGCATTCTTAGCAATTCCTTTGGGATACAAGGAAGGAAGCTGAAAAAAGAAAGGAGGAATCAGAAGGATTTGAGCAAGCAGCAAAGAGGATTCGATGCCAACTGGAGGATTCGCAAAAGACAGTCAATGAGCTAAACAACAAACTTTCAATTCTCACTGACGATTTGCAGCAAAGGAAGGTATCGCTAAAAATCCAGGAGGCAAAAGAAGAGTACAACCAAAAGGAGCGTGCTTGGGAGAAAAGCAAAAGAGCACAGCTCGAAAATGAACTGAGGATGTCTCAGCGCTTGAAAGAGATTGAAGAGGCACGACGTGGTGGCACAGTCAATCACTGTATTATTATGTGAACAAGGAACACGACTGTTCTTTCTTATTGTCTATTATTCGACAATTGAGCTGTAATTTTTGTAATTGTTATAATGAAAATCAGACTTACAATCCTATCACMAGTAATACTTGTTAGACGATGACGCAGTCAACTCAATCTTTGGTGTTGCTTGTTGTTCTTGTTCCTCTTGTTGCCGTGATTACATGCTGAAAATCCAGCAAACTGGTCAATTACGTAAATAATCAACCACCTGCTGGTCTTCAGCAATCAGCACTTCGACTGAGTCCAACAAGGTCTCAGTGCTGATTGCTGAAGTAATCCAACTTCAGCCTCAGCCTCGAGCTTTGCTCTCGTCCTGGTCTTCAGTTGGATTACTTGGTGTAATCGCGCTTGACCGCACATAATTTTCTCCTTAAGGAAGGTTTTTCAGAGTACAGATCAGAATACATACTGATTACACATACGCAGCCAGCAGGTGGCCAATTATATTACATAATCCTCCAGTTGCTTGCTTTTCACGTGTAATCACGCGCGCTGGATTACTAAAAGATTACATGTAATTGCGCGCTAACAAACACTAGTTAATTTTCTACTTAAATCTTGCACCTCGATGGATTACAAACCTGCAAAATGGATTTCATGTAATCCAAAATTGTATTCAGCGCTCTACAGAGCAAGAGCCTTATTTTTTACACGGTATTGCTAGTTGTTTGGCTGAATCAATTACAACTCCGAAAACAAAATTTTCATTATGGATTACTTTTTTCAAGGTCAATCACCTCCTAGAACAATTTTTTGTTTTCATCTGAGCTCACTCAACTTAGCTCACTCAACTTTGTACTCTACAGTAGAAATCGGTGAGCGTCCTCCGTATCCAGCTCCTCCGTATCAGCAACTTGTATCAGTGTCCTCTGTATCATGTCAGCGGCTGGCTCCTCTGTATCATATCAGCGGCTGGCTCCTCCGTATCATATCATCGAGTGTCCTCCGTATCGTATCAGCGGCTGGCTCCTCTGTATTGTATCATTGAGCGTCCTCTGTACCGTATCTGGCTCCTCTGTATAGGATCATCGAGCGTCCTCTGTATCAGTGTCMTCCGTATGATTGAGCGTCCTCCGCATTGTATCAGCAACTCGTATCAGCAACCCGTATCAGCAACTCGTCGTATCAGTGTCCTCCGTATCAGCAATTGCGGTGATTACACGTGAAAAGCGAGCAACTAGAGGATTACATAAATAATCGGCCAGCTACTCTTCACAGCAGTAATCAAACTTCAGCCTCGGTCTCGAGCTAACGCTCTCAACCTCATCTTCAGTTTGATTACTGCAGTAATCCAACTTCAGCCTTGGTCTCGAGCAAAGCTCTTGTCCTCGGCCTCAGTTGGATTACTTGTGTAATCTGTATGTAATCTGATCCGTACTCTGGAAAACCTTCAAAAACTTCCTTAGGGAGAAAATTATGTGCAGTCTCACGCTATACATGTAATCGGCGAGTAGCTCGCCAATTATATCACATAACCGTTGAGCAGCTCTAGATATTTGAGTTTTGGAAACGACTGACAGACAAAAAACGCTGACCAGACAACATAGTACTTTAGCAGCCTCAAATCGCGACACCTGCAAATTCGAGACCACCCGCAACTCAACAAGCCTTGACCTCACTCTTAAAAGTATTGCAGTGAAGGACTGCAATGGTAGAATGAGACATGATGCGAGGGAGGAAATATTCACCATTCCAATACATCACAATCATCATCACCACAGCATGAAGAAACTCATCGCATACACCACAAGAATAAGGTGAAGAGATGCAAGAATAACTCACTTGCAAAACACAACATCATGCAGGAGCAACTCACAACAAACATATGACACCCCTGCTGAGTCAAAACCTTGTTTTCAAAGCAGACATGCCTGCCATGAACAAACACCAAAAACACTTGCCACAACTGCCTCAGAAAACAG